TAGGTCCTAACATTACATTTGGGTTTGACTTTTGTTAGTAGGGATCATACTTACTTAACAGTGATATTTGCTTGTCATTTCTCACAAATTTAAGATTTGGAGTCATTTTTACGAGAAAATGGTGACACTTTACACACATGAGTCACATATACATTTTACTCCATCTTGAATTTCGTGAGTACGTAGAAAAATCCTTATTGATAATGGTCGACTTGTAAATGCATGCATTGTTGTGATCATCAGATTGACAAGAGGTTAATTCATGTGATTTGATTTTTTTGAAAAGAAAAACAAAAACAAAGGGAAAAAACAAAAATTAAGCGACAGCAGCAGAAGCTACCTCGCTCGCTTATCGCTCAACCTTCGCTCGAGCGACGGGCAGTAAATTTGAATTTTAAGGTTATTTTTTAGGGATTTCACGCATTTTTCACATTTTTCACTTGATTTCTCCAAATTATTCACACCCCACACCAAATTGGTGTCTTACCCACTCCATATGCACTTAGAATTACTTCATTGAGTAGCCATTTCATCAAATCATTGAACATCAAAGGTAAACTTTAACTCACTTGATTTTTCCTCATTTTTGCACTTTTGTTGGGATTTTTCACGTATTGATCATTCTTTCTGCAATTTTGGATATTGCATTACAGTTGTTGATCAATGTTATAACTTGTTGTTCATTTGTGCGTGATTTTTTAACAATATTTAGATGTAAGACCATTTTGACATGATTTTTATGGTTTTTGTGTGTTTCTTCACTATAGTCAATCATTTGTGTTGGTTGTTGATGTGAATTACATTAGTTTTCGTAAGTGTTTGGTGATTTGGGTCAATGAGGTTATGATGGTTATTTTGAGTGTTTTTTTTTTTTTTTTGGAGTGATTTTTGATTACATGTCAATTTCTTTAGTTGGATTATTTGGTTGTTTGCGGTGCTTTGAATGACATGGTAGATTGGGTTCGTTGGTGGTTTGACTTGTTATATTGGGTTTTGGAGTTATGAAGGTGTCACGTCTTCGTCTTCAATTTTTTGGGGTAGATTTTTTATGTTGATTGAATTTGTGGTGTATTGATTGAGGTTTGGGTTGCATTAAGGTTGAGTTCGTGTTGGTGTCGTGTTCCTTGAGATTGGAGTCTTGGTTTGAATGATTTTGGTTTGGTTTTTGTTCTCATATCGTCCTTGGCCATGTCAAGTTTTTTTTTTTTTTTTTTGCGGTTTGGTTGTTTGGGATTTGGTTTATAGTTGGAGTGTCGAGTTGGTAGTTCGGTATATGAATTGTGTTTTGTGCATTGTGTTTGATGTTGGGAACACTTGGTGACGTCACGTCACTATGTCATGACCTCACGTCCCTACGTTATGACATCGCGTCCCTGCGTCATGCCATCGCGTCCCTGCATCGTGCCATCACAGCACATGTCATTTCTTCACGTCACCTACATCTAGGCATCACTACATGTTGTGTATTCATGCTGGGGCACGTTGCATGTTATCCTATCTTTCTCGTTTTGCATCCATTCATGCATCTCACGATTATTATCGTTTTTATCACGATTTTTAATGTGTTTGATTCAATTCTTTACAGATGCCACCTAAGAGAGCGCGCACAGCCGCTTCCACTCCTAGTACCTCCTCGTCCNTCCCTACGTTATGACATCGCGTCCCTGCGTCATGCCATCGCGTCCCTGCATCGTGCCATCACAGCACATGTCATTTCTTCACGTCACCTACATCTAGGCATCACTACATGTTGTGTATTCATGCTGGGGCACGTTGCATGTTATCCTATCTTTCTCGTTTTGCATCCATTCATGCATCTCACGATTATTATCGTTTTTATCACGATTTTTAATGTGTTTGATTCAATTCTTTACAGATGCCACCTAAGAGAGCGCGCACAGCCGCTTCCACTCCTAGTACCTCCTCGTCCTATAGTAGGTCTAGGTTTATCTCGGCTATTTCCCAAGATACTTTTGGGTTGCAGTTTTCTCTTCGTCCTTTCTTTTTTGAGCTCGAGGTCATTTTCTCTGACCTATCCCCGACCTCGCGGGTTGGGAGCCTCTTTTAGTTGAGTTGGTACCCTCGGCTAGCCTACTTATTCACGAGTTCTACGCTAACATCCATGATGTTAGTGGTTCATCGTTTAGGGTTTTACTTCGGGGTATGATAGTGAAAATTACTCCAGACGTTATTTCTAGTCTTATTCATATTCCCCGGGTCGTCCACCCCCTATTTCCTTATCTTATTCCTGATTCACTTCCGACGAACTCGTTAGTCCATTCGACGGTGTTTAACATACCATTGGAGGGAGGTGCGATTCGCACTGGTTCTCTCCCAACCGAGCGCCAGATTCTGTTGTACATTGTGTGCACAAATCATTTTACATTTTTAATATATATATATAAAATGATTTTTGACTCAAAGACATTTTATATTTTTATTTTAGTTTTGCTAAATTAAGTTTGATGTTTTAGTAGTATTAATGTATCTTTGTGGTATGTTGGGTTGCATTGTTACTACGTCTTGATTTAGCATTCATATTAAAACTGAACAAGTCTAATTGATTCATAAATTGCCTAAATTATATAAATTGCTTGAACTGCTTTATTATACTGTCTTCCACACATTTTACACTGGTGTTAAGTTATTTGTTTCAGGAAACAGGTCTGATTAAACTACATAATTGTTCAAGTCGGCCAGTTTATCATAGGTTTTGAGTATGTACCTTATGTTTGATTACTGCATTGACTTAGTTAGTAGTTTTGTCNAGTAGTATTAATGTATCTTTGTGGTATGTTGGGTTGCATTGTTACTACGTCTTGATTTAGCATTCATATTAAAACTGAACAAGTGTAATTGATTCATAAATTGCCTGAATTATATAAAGTGCTTGAACTGCTTTATTATACTGTCTTCCACACATTTTACACTGGTGTTAAGTTATTTGTTTCGGGAAACAGGTCTGATTAAACTACATAATTGTTCAAGTCGGCCAGTTTATCATAGGTTTTGAGTATGTACCTTATGTTTGATTACTGCATTGACTTAGTTAGTAGTTTTGTCACAGAATACTAAATGAGGAGTTTGTTAGGTTTTAAATGTTTTATATTTGGCAATTTTCTAAACAAAAGGACTGAATTGTACTATATTTAAAAAGTCAAGGAGTAATGTGCAAATAGTTGAAAATATGGTTATTAGGTCTAGGGTTCGAGAATGGAAAAAGAGGAAAACGGCATAGATTTTTATTAGACTGACGCCAAAGTTTGGCTCGAGCTACAAAAGCATAAACATCGTCGCTGGACTGTCGCATCTCCTTCGCTCGAGCGACGTGGTTATCCGGGAAATTTTTATTTCATGATTTAAAAGCTTTTTACCTGGCTCATTCTTTTTCTAACCTACCGATATATATCAAAACACATCTATATGAAAATTGAGGAGGTTGAACATTGAGAGAGCTTCATCCGTGAGAGATTCATTCTATTTTATTTTTCAACCTTTGTCAACTTTGATTGTTTTGGTGAAAAAACATCGTTCCTATAATCCAAATACCAAACTGCATTTTCTCTACATCTGGTCAGAGTTCTGAAGATCGAGGGAAGTTGACTGGAGTTCCAGTCTGTGAAGAACGAGGTGTTCTTCGTTGATCCACGGGAAATAGACGATTCTACAAGGCTAGAAGTGCTACAGGGTAGCAGATTTCATGGAGAGCTTTGGCAACAGCAGCTAAGGATTGGTGCAGGGGAGTACGGGATCCAGGGAGAGCTGTAAGGAGTGCAGTCGAGAGATCAGATAGTATGGGTCGTCTAGTCTAATAGACTGTAAGTTGTTTGAATTGTTTATAGTGGATTGCCTAGTAAAGTGCTCAGAGTTTTTTTCAGTTGGGTTTCTCCGTGATCATCCTGGTGTTGATTTACTGCTTGTGTTATTATTTATTGATTGATCATATAAACTGCGGTATTTAAAGTTTCAAATTTAGGACTGAAATGACTTGCATGTTTAATCATCTAGAAAAAAATTAAAAAGTGACTTGTTAATATTTAATTCGTAAAATATTTTTAATTTCGCATAATATACATATTCACCTCCATCTAAGTATTGATAGAGTCGAACTATGTAATTTTCAGTTTCAATTCATTTTTCCTTCTCTTTAGCATGTTTTCAAGTCCTTGTATAAGCTGTTCATATCATCATCACACCTTGGCTTCCTAATTATTCCAAGAATCACATTTTTGTCACCGTTTCACCTAACCTACAATAAAATACGAAACACACATCAAAATATCCTAAAACTCTTTAAGATTAAACAAAACATCAAACCTTAAATGAAATAATTGCTCGAGTGAACACACTCATCACACTTTCTATCTAATCGAAAATACTCAAAAGCGTTTATGCTAATTTGAATGTCTTACCAATATATTTCTGCGGAAGTATTTCATCCATTTATATTAAATCTGCTTGTTTCGAGCATTAAAATTTAAGTGGATAAATATAAATTTAATTTTAAAGGAATCGGTCACTTTTTGACAGCCTAACATATCTACAACACCCATGAATTCAAAGCACAGTTTCATATTTCCATTTCATGTTGTTGGCTTAGCTTAAAACCACAAAAAAAAAGTGACTTTTTCAGTAGTATATCACTGTCTGAAAAATTGGTTTCTTGTAAAAACAAATAGCAGACATGCACGTCTACATCGTTACCATTGGATCATAATTAAGAAAAATAACATTAAAGCGATGGGATTGAAGATTCAAGCATGGAAAAACATTGATACCAAGGAGAATCACATACACAATTATTCATTTAAAGATCGATATTTACTCATCTACATACCAAGAACATATTTAATACACAATACTCAACAAATAGCTTGCTTATCTCTTAGTTCTATCTGATCCAGAACTTCATAGAAACAGTACGTAGTTAAATAATGAGACAATACGACAAGTCTCTCTAGTTGAACACAGATCCCACCACACAATTTTCTAGTTGTTGATCAATAATTAAATGCATCAGGAGATGATGCCACGATGGGCTGTTGGCTGAAGTACATTAAGTTCCATGGACTATTCAAGAAACTCTCCTCAGCCCAGTTGCCGGGGGCGCCTCCTCCTCCTCCTCCTCCTCCCACGGCGGTGGTGATGATTTCATTTAGGGACTGTAATCTTTGGCTAAGTTCCATAATCCGAGCCCTTATGACAGAATTTTCAGCCTCAATATTCATGTAATTTTGTGTGGTGATGTTAATGCTTGTGAGAATTTGGCTGTTTTCCTTTTGAATTTGAGCCGATTTGGCCGCTAATTCATCCAAATGCTTCTGTTTTCTCATTCGAGATCGTCTCGCCGATTCGCGATTTGATTGCATTCTTTTCCTTTTTCTTTGATCCATCAAATCTTCTTCAGAACCTGAGTTCTGAATCTGTGGAGAGCCTGAAGAGTTGCCACTACAAGAACCCATTTGCATATAATCCTGAAGAAAAAATAAAATCTGTCTTCAGACAACAATAATAAAAATGAGATAAAATCAAACGACAAGCCGATGATCCGTTAGTTTAACCGTGACGTTTAATGTAAGAGATTTGTTTATTTTACAGCTCTGACGTGCACCAAAATCGCCCTGAAAGTCCTTTCTGGAAATCTGTAAAGTTGTTTACTCTCGATGCCAAATTCCGACGACTTCACTTCTGCAGAATTTCAGAGAAATGCCTCCCACGCACGCCCAAACAGAAGGCCGAAAATCTGTGGCATTCGTGCAAATGACGCACAAAAATACATCTGGTTCACTCCTAGCGCGAGAGCTTCGTGCTACAGGTTTTTAATGGTAACGCCTCTCTCGCACATCAGAGCCGGCCTTCAGGAATCTTTTAATTAATAAGAATTTTAAGACTAGCTATGAAATATCAGTATAATTAAGTTGCAAATATATAAGAATATTCAAGATCTGCTGAAAAATGCTAGATCAAAAACATAAAACCAGTAGAGAAATGTAACTGAGAAAGATTGAACAAGATGGGTTCTGCTTCTGATCGAGGATTTGATCATAAACGCTGAAAGGAGGATTTCACTGAGTACAGGACTAGACATGAATTTTAAACATAATATGCAGCATCAAGATTTTATATGAAGAAAATTTTAATCAGAGCCTTAAAAAAAACAGAAATGAGAAATTTCAAGAAGAAAAAGCAATGGAAGAAGAGATCTATATGAAACTATTACAGAAAAAGAGAAGCAGAAAAATAGAGGCTTAATTATGAACACAAAATCTTAAGGGGCGACGGAGAAGAGAAGGAAGAGAATTTTGAGGTTGTGGGAAGGCTGATTGATTTATAGAAGGAAAAGACGGAAAGAAAATCACAAGTAAAGAGAACAACGTCAATTTAAGATTACGTTTGGCTGATCTTCAAAATGTAAAAATCACTTTTTAAATGACCTTTTATTTTCAGATAAGTTATCTTTTTTTTTATTTTTAATTAAAAAAGATACTTATGTTGCAACCAATTCTGACCATTAATAAAATTAAAATTATTTGTGTTAGAACTGTACTAAATTAAAGTTTTTTTTCAAACATGCTTAAAGCCTTGTTCGCATAAAGTTTGGAATCGAGTGAATCATTTTTCGTTATTACGAAGAATTGATTCTACATCTATTGGAATATTTAAAAACAATTAAATTTTTAACTTCACCTCATTTCTAACATGATCTCTTGAGGTCCCGTGACACTTTAGACCAATATGAAACATGTGTCGAATTGCTTAAAATATCTCTGTCTTAATTAACCTTCAATTTCACATTTTGTTCTTAATGCATATAATTATTTCTTATATTATTTTATAGTTGGTTCCAAATTCAGGTAAATCACGAGAACTATGATAAGTCTACATTATACATGTTTATCAAATCTCTCGAAAAATTAGATCATACGTGTTTGGGATTACTTTTTATAAGTGTACATTATACATTTTTATGCACGGACCTATTATTTCAATCCGACCATTCTATACGAGTCATTACTTATAAGCACTCAAAAGCAACCAAACAAGCACTAATCTTAGTACTAAAAATTCAAAAATATCAACAAGAATAAGTTTCAATGATTAGAAAAAGAAAAGCAAATTGGAAAAAGGTGTAGGGCTTTGGAATATGTGAAGGAGTTGATTAGGGATGTAGGGTTGAGAAAAAGCTTCCACAAACATCCAAACCAAAATGCACAGAATCAATTTAAGAATTCTGACAAAATTTGTTACCTTATTAATTTTCACCAATTTCTTGCAGTAATTAATTGATATTAACTTAAATTATTTTGTGTGGTACCAGGTTTTACCTGAACCATTGAATTCTGCTGAAGAAATCTCAAGGATGGTTGCCAATATTCTTGTGTTGTTTAACTAAAAAAGATGAACAAAAATGTATAAACTCTGAATATTCTTTAATGCCACAATTTTTGTTTTTATTTCATAAGTCAAATTTGAATATGGATTATATAATAATTGACATGTAAACTTCAGATCTAGGACACATAAAAATTGAAAAAGAACATGCCATGGACGATGAAACAACTTCTAAAAATTGTAACGATGTCAATTTTTAGTTAGAGCACTTCGATTAAGTTTTTTTGTGTTGGTAAAATTTTGGAACTTTTGCAATGTTTCCCAAAAGTTTCAATAAAGTTTCCATAGTCTTCAAATTTTATTAGTAAATGGGATTTTTTTTTGAGTTTCCAAAACGTTTATGGAGAGTTTTGATTTCTAAAACGAAAGATTATTAGAACTTGAAGCGGTCATTGTACTATCTCCTTTAACACCCTTGTATTATATCTCAAGCAAAGTATCTTTTTATTTCAGATTTTTCAGATCGGATATCCGATAACATAATAAATCGGATGTGAATTTAACAATCAAATATTCGTTAGATTATCGGATCGGATCGGATCGGATATAGACAGATTCGACCCATATTCGATCAATTTACAGCCCTATGCCCAAGAACAAAAAAAATTATTTTCTTTTGGCAAGAATGTTACATAATTATTTTATTCTTTTGAAAAAAAAATCTTTTGCCCATAAAATTATATACAAAAGCATATATATGGTTTTCAGTCATGGGGTGAAGTGGTTTCGCCCACCTTATTTTAAGTTCTCTGTATTCAAGTGTTTTCAACCGTCCAGAACAAAGAATAAATAATGGTAATTTCTTCCACTTGTTCGATTAATTATTTCGAAATTTGAAGTCTAACCAACGGTTGTCATTGAATCCCTATTTGACAATCATTATTTGAGCTTTTTTTATATACTCATTTTCAACAATATATTCAAATAATAAAATATTCTGCACGTAAACTTCAAATTTTTCTCTACTTTTTAATCACACGTTCTCATAAAAATCACTATTAAAAAAATTTTCTTTTCCAAATAATGATTGTCAAACAGGGATTATTTTATTTTTCCAAAATTTTATACAGTCGTGTTTGTTAGCGATAACAAAGGGTCATCTTCTGGAGACAATCAAGACTCGTTATCAAGCACAAAAATCAAGACAAGAATCAAAGAGAACTATATGGCAATGCAGAGGTTGTCCAAAAGTGTAAGAGTTGATTTGTTTTAAAGAATGCTTAAGGGACCTACTGAGGAAAGTGAATTTAATTATCATCCTAAATGTGGTCAATTGAAGATCACTTACCTAGCATTTGCGGATGACTTGATGTTATTTGCAAGGGGTATATCATCTCGGTTGGAATCATGATGGAGTGCCTATCTAACTTTGGAGACATCTCGGGATTTTGGATGAATGTGAACAAGTCTAACTTGTCCACGGCAGGTTTTCATGGACAAGAATTGGAAGACATTTGCCAATTAACTAATATGGCTAAGGGTTCGATGCCATTTCGTTACTTGGGAATTCCACTTGCGACGGTAAAATTGAAAGTTAGCTCAAATGATGCTCTTATCAACAAATCTTAGGACTCATTGGAGCATAGTCTAGGACTTCCTTGTCTTATGCGGGGAGAGCGGAGCTCGTGCGAGCCGTCCTTCAAGGTGTTGAATGTTTTTGACCTTCCATACTACATCTCGGCTACGGTTGTTTCTAAGATTGTTGTTATTTGTTGCAATTTCCTCTGGGGATCTAAGAAGTCATTGGTTGCTTGGAGTAGTGTTTCCTTGCCGAAACATGAGGGTGGACTTGGGTTTAGAGACATGAAATGTTGGAACTTGACACTACTTGCTAAAACCCTTTGGAACATTCATAGCAAGAAGGATACTGTTTGGGTTAGGTGGGTGAACCAGTTTTTCCTGCGTGGGGCTGAAATCTAGGAGTATTCGACAAAGAAAGATGATTCTCCACTGATGAAAAAAGTTGTTGGAAGTTTCTGGGCAGATTGCACAGCCTCAGGTTAGGCTGGCAAAAAAGCACAAGGACACTGGCTCCGAGTTGGTTTCAGCTAGCCTAGCTGATCAAGCACAGGCAGGTGCACGCACACTGAACAATCAGGTCATCTATGGAAGATTTAGTATTGCAGAGGCCTGTGATTTCTTCATGTTGAAGGGGCCAAAGGTAGTATGGGCAACATCTATTTGGAATGCTTCCATCACCCTGAAGCATGCTTTCATCTTGTGGCTTGGAGTTAAGTGCAAATTGCTTACCAAGGACAAGCTTATGCATATGAGATAGATCAAGAATGCTGTTTTTGTGGCATTGGTAATGAGACGGTGCAACATCTCTTCTTCACTTGTCATTTTAGTGCTTCCGTTTGGCAAAGGATTAGAGTTTAGCTTGGAATTAGGCGATCAATGTCTACATTATCAAGTGCATTGAAGTGGATCAAGAAGAAAGTTTGAGGCACAACTTGACATAGTAAGGCGAAGCTGATTGCACTTGCTAGTACCGTTTACCATTTATGGATGGCACGGAACCGGAAAATTTTTGAGGATCTTAGACTGCAAGTTGATTGTGTTGTTAGACGGATCAAAACACACATATACAAAATTATGTTTTCTTTGTATCCGAATATTTTGATTCAATATGAGTCTATGGCATTAGGTCGCTAGATCTTATCGTTTGTACATCTTTTCATTTTGATTGCTCGGGAATGTCTAGTGTACTTGTATATGGTTTTGATCAATATATTTCACATTTACAGATCAAAAGTAAAAAGTTTTCTATATATTAGAGCCTCCAACGCCAAAAGCAAATTGTTGTGGTTTCACTACTATCTAAAATCCTTTAGTGTGGAATGACTATAATGCCCTTGTTTGACACTCATTTTATAAAAGAATTTGATTTGGAATAGTAATTGATGGAAAAATGTGTGGTTAAAAAGTAAAGAGAATTTTTGGGTTTATGTGTAATATTATTTTATTGATAGAATGTGTGGTTGAAATGAAGAAAGAGAAAAAAATGAGAATGAGAATGAGAAGAAAATGAGTGTCAAACAGGCCGTAAGTCTTTATCTTTAAATATAAAATTAATCACTAGGGAGCAAAGAAATTTATTAATTTTATATTAAATTTTTTGTCCAGTGCAAATTATCTTCATTTATTAAAATTAAAGACTTAAAAGTTGTTTAAGTAAGTTATAACCTAGTTTAAGCCGTGTAAGAACATCTACAAGACTCTCTAAATGCAAGATATTAGCTATTTGGGAGAGTATATATTTAAAAATAAGCTCCAAATGACTTTTTATTTTTATTTTATAGTAATTATATTAAACAAGTAACTTATTTCAAATTTCAACTTCTTTAGTGATTCAAATTGATTAATCATTGACATATAAAAATATGTCAAATAAAAGATCATGAGATGTTTCTTGAAAAAAAGAAAAAAAGAAAAGCAAAATGAAGAGTTAAAATAGAAAATATCATTGAAGTATATAAAAAATTTAATCTCTATATTTAAAGATAAATCTCTACTAGAATTGTTCTCTTGTCCATGAAGGACAAGATAAAATGTACATATAGCTGACATGACAATGTCACTTCAGCCGTGGGCACGATGGACTTCTGCTCACAGTGGACAGAAGACCATTCATATAATTTTTATTATATATAAGAGGCTTTATATATAAAGAGTATGTTAAAGACATGAACGGATCCAGTACTAGATTACAAAACGGACTAATACGTTTAAAAAAAAAATTATGCATGATTTTTTTTTTACATTAAATTTTTTTTTCTACCAACAAAAATGAAGTGGCTGGAGACTAGCCCGATCCAGTCCCCCTACATCCGTCCCTATTTAAAGATGGTTACATTCCGAAGTAGGATGTCCTCATGACATAATTGGGTAAAACATATGTTAGATTATACTAAGAGCTTGTTTGTGATAGATTTTTTTTAGGGAAGAATTGATTTTGAATAGTGATATGATGGGAAATGTGTGGTTGAAAAAGAAGAAAAAATTATTGATGTGATGGAAAATATTATTTTATTGAAGAATGTGTGGTTGAAAATGAGAATTGATTTACTGTAGAAAATGTTAATCCATCCCAAACATGGCCTAAATGAGGTTCATATTAAGCTCTTGTTTGGTAGGAGATTAAAATTAAATTTTTAATAGATTTTAATAAAACTTAATAAAATGTATGGTTAAAGGTTGTGAATCATAAGAAATATGTGATTAAAATTAAATTCTTGGCTTTGACTTAAATTAAAATTTAGAGTTTAGTCCCTACAAAACATGGAGTAAATAAGAAAATACAATTTTTGTGTTTTATATATTATATTGTTTAATGAGATTTTATATAGCATAAATGCACTTCAAATTCTTGTAAATGAGATGGTATGTACAAATTCAATCAAGGCCTATTTGGTTTAGAATTTTAGTAAATTTTGATGAAAATTGAGAAATTGCAGTTGAAAAATTGTGGATCGCATAAAATGTGTTATAAAAATTAATTATTAACTTTAATTTAAAATTTTCAACTTTTTTGGTTGAACCAAAAAATGGACTTAAATATCAAACAAACTCAAATACTATTTTTTTTAATCCTCTAATCATATGCAACAAACAAATAGATCGCAAAAGTTTTCTTGTCATTATCAGATTTACTTGCAGTGAGTGTGGTCATTTCAAATACAAATAATGATTATGACCAAATCTTTAGAGATTTTGAGTCCCACAATTTTGCAGTTCGGTGAATAGTTGTTTTTAATGTAAGAAAGAACACACACATACACACGCATACGAGAGTTGAGTTTTGCCTGTAACGTGGAGTAGGGGACCTCTTCAAGAAAAGGGAATTTTTCTTTACTGTTTTGGGAGTGGAACTATGGATGAAATATTAGTTGACAATTCATTTTCACAACTTGATTTTTTCTTATTTTTCAAGTCTAGACCT